CCATTGCTCCTTGTTCTGCCATCTGTCACTACTGAGAGCAGCCTCTCTCCAGCCTCTTTGGAACCTCCCTTCAGGAAGTTGAAGGCTGCTCTCAAATCCCCCCTCACTCTTCTCTTCTGCAGACTAAACAGACCCAAGTCATAGAATCATAGAATACTAGGACTGGAAGGGACCTCAAGAGGTCATCGAGTCCAGCCCCCCGCCCTCAAGGCAGGACCAAGTCCCTCAGCCTCTCCTCATAAGTTATATGCGCCAGCCCCCTAATCATTTTGGTTGCCCTCCGCTGGACCCTCTCCAATGCGTCCACATCCTTTTTGTAGTGGGGGGCCCAGAACTGGACACAATACTCCAGATGTGGCCTCCCCAGAGCCGAATAAAGGGGAATAATGACATCTCTGGATCTGCTGCCAATGTTCTTAATGCAACCTAAAATGCCATTTCCTTCTTTGCTACAAGGGCACGCTGTTGACTCATATCCAGCTTCTCACCCACTGTAATCCCCATAGCCTTGAAAAAATCCATGCGGCATGCAGCGGCAGTCAAAAAAGGAAATAGAATGCTAGGAATTATTAAAAATGGGATAGAAGACAAAACGAAGAATATCTTACTGCACCTGTATAAAGCTATGGGACGCCCACATCTGGAATACTGTGCACAGATGTGGTCTCCTCACCTCAAAAAAGATGTTTTGGCATTAGAAAACTTTCAAAAAAGAGCAACTGAAGTGATCAGGAGTTTGGCACAGGTCCCATATGAAGAGAGGCTAAAGAGACTGGGACTTTTCAGCTTAGAAAAGAGGAGACGGAGGGGGATATGATAGAGGTCTATAAAATCATGAGTGGTGTGGAGAGGGTGAATAAAGAAAAGTTCTTCATTAGTTCCCATAATAGAAGAACTAGAGGACACCAAATGAAATGAATGGGGAGCAAATTTAAAATTAATAAAAGAAGCCAGGAAATGACCCAGCTGAGGTGCTCTGATGTCCTTCTGCTATGAGGGTCCCTGCTCCGTGCCTGTCTCCTGCCATTGGCATCCAGCCTGTTGCTGCCCTGCACCTGCTCTGCCCCTCCCTTGTTCCCAGGTCTGGCCCCGCTCTAACCATCAGGGCACACTGCCTCGATCCCGGCACTCAGTACCCAGAGCAGGGCACGGGGCTGCGCCATCAAGGGTAATTTTCCACCAGCACCGGAGGTGTTTTCTGAAGGATCTGCCCTGTGCCAGGCAGGGCTCACTCAGGGCTGGTCCCTGCACTCGGTGGGGTCAGAGCAGACGATCACTCGGCCCTTCTGGGCTCAGAGTCGATGTTTCTGTGACACTGACGCACGTTCCAGGCCTGGCCCCAGATCTGGGCTTCAGTTAAGCAACCCAGATGATCATCTCCTGTTATAAACTGAAGTGACTTCTGTTGCTTCCCTGAGCCTCCCCCCCTCCCCGCCATTCCCGTGTCCCTCCCAGGTCCCCTTCCCCATAACCCCAAAGTGCTGGGTGCTCTAGGAACACAGGGACTGACACTGACCAGAGATGGGGTAAAACTGACCCCATAGTGACCATGTCTGGAGCCAAGTGACTGAGCTGTATCGCCCAGCGCATGGAGCAGACACCCCCCGCCACAGCCCAGCCAACAGCGGCAGGCTGGAGATGTTTTGGCTCCTCTGCAGTGGGACCTCTTGCCCAGACTCTGTCCTCCACGACTCACAGCTGTACACCCCGGCATTCGACTCAGACACATTCGACAGCAGGAGGGAGGTGCTGACACGGTAATGAGACCACTGGAGCTCTCCGGAGCCGATTCTCCGGCCATCTCTGAAGAACCGGATCCCGGACACGGTGTCAGTGCTGTGAGCTGAGCACGTCAGGGTCACAGATTCCCCCCGTAGGAGGACTGGGTAGGGTGAGCTCAGAGTGAGTTCAAGGACAGACAACCAGTCTGGAAGGGAGGAGGGAGGAATGTGAGAGCTCTGTAGAAGCAGTGCCCCACAGCTACCCCTCTGGCCCCTCAGCCAGTCCCACCCAGAGCTTCTCACAGCCCCCTCCTCCCTGCCATTCCC